GTTCACGGTTCCGTTCACAGTAAAAATTTAAGAGGAACTTTCCAATTCGGAGCGGTTGGATTAATATAATTGAATTTTTGATATTAATATATATTAATATATATATTAATCAAAGGCTTATAGCCTGTGAATCATAAATCAAGTTTTAGCTATCTATAAATATATATATATATCTATATATATAGCTATATGTATCTATATAAATAGTCAAAATCCAATATTCAAACCAAATCGAGTAGCATAAATAACCGCAATTTAATCAATGCTCATAAAACAACACAAGATATGGTCTTAAATTTAAATTCAATTCAATTGATACCTTTTTTATAACTTTTTGTATTGAAATAATATCTAAATTGTCTGGCCAGACCCTTGACCTCGGTCGTGCCAGGCGACAGACTGAAAAGACGTCTCTGAGGGCAACAACTCCGCCTGTCTCAGTCGCGACGCCTACGGGCCAGCATATGCACCTCAGCCACCTTCATTTGGCATTTCAAAGAACTTGTTGTGTTTCTTTTAAATAAGCTTTTACTCCCAGAGCTACTTTTAAATATCAAAGAAATTTAAATCAAGGCCGCAAAGCGGCTTAAAACCCAAACGGTTCGAAACAGTAAATTCAAATCTTTCCCAATCAGAGCACGAATTTGATCCGAATAGGCAGCCCAACTAATAGGCAACACGTAACAAATAAAATTGTTTTGGGTAAGAAACAGTTTCTGTTTTTGATATTTGAAATTGTTTTTGCATTTTTTATTCCATTAACCCATTAAAAATGGATATAAAGGGTAAATTGTTTTCAGGCAGAAGGAAGCAGTATAAAAGTATATATATTCTTGGCCTGCATCAAAAGCCGAGTCGATATTGCCATGTCCTGTCTGTCTGCCCGCCTGTATATATAAACGCAAGCATATCCTGCATGTATCGTCTAGAAGAGTATATATAGGGCAAGTATCTTTCTAGAAGAGGGTTTATCGTATCCCCTAGTCGGGAACTACCGACTAGAGCCTCTTACTTGTTATTCCCTAAAGAAGGAATTATCTCCGACTCCATAAGTATATATATTTTCTTGATCAGGGCGACGAGCTTTCGTCTGTCCCTTTAAATAAAAGCGTCGAACTCGAAAACTTCAGAAACTAGAGTTGTGAAAATTTAAAAGTATTGTTCCTATAACGCATGCACACATTTTCGATAAATATCCATTTATTCTTCGAATTTCTCAAAAATGAAAACAAAGGCCTTGCTCTTTGTTATAAACACACATTTGTTTGCCATATTTAAACAATCTGAAAATAAAGAGAATTATAAAAATTTAATTTCATCACGAATGCGTTTACCTTGTGTGGGGCAAAAAGAAGAAGAAGCACATGCGGTCAATTGATGTGGAAAATCAGGTTCACTTGCATTATAATTTACAATTATACTTTTTTCTCAAGTCTGATATTTTTGACCATGATTAAAAATTAATGTTTATGACAATAATAGTATAAATACTCTTCAAACATTTCACATTGCAGTTCAATTGTTAATTAGCTGGATTTATTCATGCGTGATGCTTGCCCAAGGTCTAGACTCTAGACTCGAAATTCATATCAGCCTCACACAAATTAGTTGTATGTCAATTAATTAAGTTACGCATACGCCTCGTTGGCTGCGTGTGTTTTCATTACAAAACATATCGAACATCAGTTTTATGAACATGCTCAAATGGCAATTAATATTTAATGTTCCGGGCGTGTCAATATTGATTGTAAACGACATTCGCATTGACTTCAATATGTGTGTGCACTTATTGTTGTAATGGAGTCTAAAAAGTTGTACGTTTCTTGGTATTGCGGGCGGTTCTGTTGAAATCTCTGAGGATTTGGTTTCACAAATGATTCGCTTTGTTTTATTGGATGGTTTTGTTATTTTTCTGTTTAAAATATATTGCCTTGTCTTGTTTACTAAAGCGATACCCTACAAATGTTTTGTCAAATGGGTAGTTACAATGCGGAGAATCTATATATAATAAGAGAAAGACTATGTCTTTTGCTTGTAGTGTTACATCTGTACTTTTTACTCGGCCTCAAATTTAATTTAAAAACCTAAAAAATATGAAAAAAATAGTGTTTTGTAGATTTTCAATAATAACTTTTATGGGAATGTTTTTCTTTCCTCAGGACACATATTAATACATTTTCAAAAGATATTAGTAACATATCCTATAAATCATGTATCACAGTTTTCGTAAAATCCACCTTCCAGCGTGGAAAATGTTGGGCTAATGTTTCGATCGACTTTAACTTTATATTTTTTTAAAAATGTTTTTAAATTTAGTAAAATAAAAATACTTTGCTCGGGTTATGTTGCAAAATTCTCGCTTTTAAATCAAATAAATTACGGGGCATCCAAATCGAATTTGTTTCGTTTTTTTAACTTTTTAATATATTTCCAACATATTTGTTAGCTTTCTGAATTTAGGTAAACCAAATTATTTTGGCACAATGGCAGGCACGAATATTGTTGGTGGATGCACAAAGAAATCCAATTATGGCCGACGGCTAACTGATTTTGTTGGCCTGCTTTTTTGTTAGCCACTCGCAAGAGCTTAACTACAAGAAATATATCTATATCTAACTACATAACTGCATTTGGCAGTTCAATCTGCTTAGGCAGCACAACTGTATTGATCTTTATCTAAGCTTATGCCTGGGTGCATCAGTTAATTGATTTGCCTTGCGACATGCGGCTGCAGTTGGCTTTACATATATAAACGCAGATCCTATCATAATATATATATATTTTTTTAATATTCTGCAATCGTTTGTGGATTTTTTCTTGGCAATTGGCCATCAAATTAGCTTTTTGCTTTTGTGGCCCACTGTGCCACATTTATGAATATATCAACGAGCCAACGTCGAGTGTCTACCGCTGCGGATCTCTTCAAGTGAGTGTATAAATGTAAGTATGTGTGTGTGTGTGTGTGTGTGTGTGTGAGTGCTCATAAAGCTGCACAAATAAAACTGTCGACGATTGTAAGGCACAGCTCACACTCACACTCACACACAGACACAGACACTGACACAGTGGCAGCCACAAAAGGCAGGCGGGGAAAATCAGTTGAATTGCCAGAGCAGAGGTAGAGGCGCCGTCATGAAGGGTTGCCTGTGGGGTCGGATGAAGCCCGAACAGGCGCAGCCGTTGCAATTGCGCCCGCCAACTGCTGCACTGGCACAGGAAATATTATCCGCATTGCCAAAGCATCTTAGCCAAGTCAGAGCGCAAAATGGACAGACAGACAGAGAGAGAGAGAGAGAGAGAGAGAGAGAGAGAGAGAGAGAGAGAGAGAGAGAGAGAGAAAGAGAGAGAGGGAGAAAAGTAGATAGAGAAAGATGCGCTATGAATAAGGCTGTCGATGGCTGTTCCGGGGAAGGGGGGGCTTGGTGTGCGGGCAGGACAAAGCGCAAAAGCGGCCAAGTGAATTTCTCAAATACAAATTCAAATGGCAAATTGACAAATGAACCTTCAGAGCATTTTACGTTTCCATTGTGTGTGGGCTGGTGTGTGAGAGTGTGTGTGTGTGTCTGAGTGTGTGTAGGTCAGCAGTTTGTGCAGTATTTCCTTGCTGCAGCAAGGGGCAAATTTCACTTTTGCCTCATTTTCCAGCTGATGCTTTACTTTGAGCGTAAACAAAAAACAAAAAATATGAGAAAAGAAAAAAAAAATAGAAGAAAAAAACTTGTAAAGCAAAAAACACCATTCGACAGGCTTTTGATGCTGATTTTGTGAAGATGCCTTTGCCAGCAGCAGAAGGAGGGCGTGGCACGGGCATCTGTTGGCTGTTGCGCCGCATTGTTGCGCCATTGTTCTCTGTGTGCGGCACCAAGTGGCATGAGTTGGTCTATTGAAACACCCGCCCAACCACTGAATCGACAAACCCAAACCCAGACCCAAACTCAAACCCAGACCCAGACCCACGCCCGGCATGAACAACAAACTACAAATTGTTGTTGATAGGCGATTTTAAAGCTTTGGCTAAAGGCCGATCCCATCGGCCATTGTTTGGCATTCCATTTACTGGCCGAGCTTCGGTAAATTGAGATTACCAATGAGCCAACTACAATTACAATCAAAACAACAACAACAACAACAACAACATGGGCACACAATGCGCATTGTTCCTGAAAATGATGCTCTAAGTAAAGCCGATTTTTTGCGGCCTCCGGAATACATGCTCGTCTTCTTTAAGAGTTTAAGGAGCAGCAACTTCAGCTTCGAGCACTGCCAACACTGCAAACTAATCCGAATGCCGGCCAGTGTTGCCAATTACGTTTTTTTTTTATCGTTAGCTCTAGCTTTTTGTGTCTTTTTGCAGACAAAGTCAAAGGCGTAATAGGCTTGTGGAAATGTTCTTTGCAAAAGGGAGCTTCTGTATATAAACTTGCCTAGCTTCAACTTGTTTAAGTTAAAAGGTTGTTAACCCCTGTTTCGTGTGTAAATCATATAAACTTTAAATCATCTTAAAACAGTAATGACTAATAAATTGTCCAAACCATAAGAAAGTAATCCCCTTTATAAATGTTAAGCAATTTTAATCATTGTTTGAATTTTTTATGCGCCGAACCCTAAAAAATGTATGCTAGAGACGGAAGCAAGCATTTTCGAACCCATAAAGTATATATATTCTTGAGCATGAATATATAATAGATAATATATATACTTGATCAGGATGACACGCTCTGGCAATCTGTCCATGTCTGTCTGCCTGTGGATCCGGAGATCTTCAATAGTTAGTCTCATGTTTTTTGTGTATCGATAAATATTGGTAAAAGCTCGAAAATTATAAAAGCTATAAGATTGAGAATATTTTATTTTTTGGATATCTCCCCCAAAAATTGAAAACAAAAACTTGCTTGTCCGAATCGCGCAGCTAACTTAATATTGTCTAAATTTAATAAGAAATTTTACACTTATTTTGGCAGCAAATTTTAACTTGAAGCATTTTTTCTTGCTCTTCTTAGCTTGTCAATACTGGATTGGACGCACTGAATCCAGCTTAAAGAGAGCGAGCAAGTTTAGTGAAGCGAGAAGAGAGCATCCCTCCACAAAAAAACAAAAAAAAATCAAATTCGATAAGGAACTGTCGCAGTCGAGTGCAACGGAAAATTTGCCTTTTGTCCCAGCAAAATAGCCAAAGTGCCGAGTAATATGTAATGGAGCCCCCTTTCGCCAGCGACGGCAACATGATGTGAAACATGGCAATCGAATCAGCCAAAGCCATTTAGAGTCATCAATTGGCGAGGTCGCGACCGGCACTGGAACAGGTCCAGGCAAAGGGACAGGAACAGGGTCAGGCGTGGGGCAGAACGCAGCGGGACAAATGCACAGCATGGCGCCAAAATGGAGAAGCAAAAGCAGCAGCAGGAGCAGCAGGAGCAACAGGGGGAGCAGCATGGGGAGCTGGAGCAGCATCCGGCTGCCAGGTGAGTTGCACATAAAACAAAAGTCTGAAGCAAAGGTCGTCAATCATTGCTCTTTCGACCCTTGCGGTGGGTATTATTATTTTGCCACGAATTGTGTAACGCATTGAAGAAGACATCTTTGAACCCAATAAATATATATATTCTTGATTTGTGTCAAGAGTCGAGTCGATATAGCCATGTCCGTCTGTCTGAGTGCCTGTCTTCTTCTATGCAAGCTTGTCTCTCAGTTTTCAAGCTACAGTGGCGGCCAAAATATAGGAACAACCTCAGTTGATTTGTTAGATACAGCTTATGATGGACATATTAATTTGTAGGTAAATTGCGTATTTTCTTTTTGACAAGTATACTCATGAGGTAAAATTTAAGTTAAATAGCCTTGGCAGCAAACAAAAATAAATGTGACAAATCGAAAAATCAAAAAATTGCTCAAAATGTAATTTAAAAAACCCTATAAATTAAAGTCTCAGACAAAAAAAGGACGAAGTCGGTTCGAAAGGTCTTTCGTTGGGTTTTTTAGGGTTCAATAGAGTGGAAAATCGAAAGAAAGGAAGACCAAAATCTTGGGGGTATGGGGATCTTCAAAATGAGTTTCTTCACGCACAAGATCCCGAAAATGGTGTAAAAATTTTGTTTTCTCGATAAAACGTTTTAAAGTTGAGTATTTTTCCTCAGAACGGAGAGCTAGGCACTAGAAACATCTATGCAGCACTTTGTTGTATCTTATCGTATATCGTAATATCGTAATCAACCTTTTAATTTTTATACCCTGAACCCATTAAAAATGGGTATAAGGGTATATTGTATTTGTGCAAAATACAAATGTATGTAACAGGCAGAAGGAAGCATCTCGGACCCCATAAAGTATATTTATTCTTGATCAGCACCAATAGCCGAGTCGATCTAGCCATGTCCGTCTGTCTGTCTGCCTGTCCGCCAGTCTGTCTCGGTCAAATCTCATCCGATTTTCATAAGGTTTGGCTTTTTGTTCATGGTTTGACCTCTAAATCAATTTGGAATCAAAAACTGGCAACAGTATTTTTGGTCAAAATTCATGTAAAAATTGTACCCTCAAATATCCTAACTAGACATAAGTCAAAATTTCCCAGCCCCATATCTCGGTCAAATCTCATCCGATTTTCATAAGGTTTGGCTTTTTGTTCATGGTTTGACCTCTAAATCAATTTGGAATCAAAAACTGGCAACAGTATTTTTGGTCAAAATTCATGTAAAAATTGTACCCTCAAATATCCTAACTAGACATAAGTCAAAATTTCCCAGCCCCATAATTCGGTCAAATCTCATCCGATTTTCATAAGGTTTGTCTTTTTGTTCATGGTTTGACCTCTAAATCAATTTGACATCAAAAACTGGCAACAGTATTTTTGGTCAAAATTCATGTAAAAATTGTACCCTCAAATATCCTAACTAGACATAAGTCAAAATTTCCCAGCCCCATATCTCGGTCAAATCTCATCCGATTTTCATAAGGTTTGGCTTTTTGTTCATGGTTTGACCTCTAAAACAATTTGGAATCAAAAACTGGCAACAGTATTTTTGGTCAAAATTCATGTAAACATTGTACCCTCAAATTACTTATATAGACATAAGTCAAAATTTCCCAGCCCCATATCTCGGTCAAATCTCATCCGATTTTCATAAGGTTTGGCTTTTTGTTCATGGTTTGACCCCTAAAACAATTTGGAATCAAAAACTGGCAACACATTTTTTTGGTCGAAATTCATGTAAAAATTGTACCCTCAAATTACTTATATAGACATAAGTCAAAATTTCCCAGCCCCATATCTCGGTCAAATCTCATCCGATTTTCATAAGGTTTGGCTTTTTGTTCATGGTTTGACCTCTAAAACAATTTGGAATCAAAAACTGGCAACAAATTTTTTTGGTCGAAATTCATGTAAAAATTGTACCCTCAAATTACTTATATAGACATAAGTCAAAATTTCCCAGCCCCATATCTCGGTCAAATCTCATCCGATTTTCATAAGGTTTGGCTTTTTGTTCATGGTTTGACCTCTAAATCAATTTGGAATCAAAAACTGGCAACAGTATTTTTGGTCAAAATTCAGTAAAAATTGTACCCTCAAATTACTTATATAGACATAAGTCAACATTTCCCAGCCCCATATCTCAGTCAAATCTCATCCGATTTTCATAAGGTTTGGCTTTTTGTTCATGGTTTGACCTCTAAATCAATTTGGCATCAAAAACTGGCAACAGTATTTTTGGTCAAAATTCATGTAAAAATTGTACCCTCAATATCCTAACTAGACATAAGTCAAAATTTCCCTACCCCATAGCTCGGTCAAATCTCATCCGATTTTCATAAGGTTTGGCTTTTTGTTCATGGTTTGACCTCTAAATCAATTTGGCATCAAAAACTGGCAACAGTATTTTTGGTCGAAATTCATGTAAAAATTGTACCCTCAAATTACTTATATAGACATAAGTCAAAATTTCCCAGCCCCATATCTCGGTAAAATCTCATCCGATTTTCATAAGGTTTGGCTTTTTGTTCATGGTTTGACCTCTAAATCAATTTGGAATCAAAAACTGGCAACAGTATTTTTGGTCAAAATTCATGTAAAAATTGTACCCTCAATATCCTAACTAGACATAAGTCAAAATTTCCCTACCCCATAGCTCGGTCAAATCTCATCCGATTTTCATAAGGTAAGGCTTTTTGTTCATGGTTTGACCTCTAAATCAATTTGGCATCAAAAACTGGCAACAGTATTTTTGGTCAAAATTCATGTAAAAATTGTACCCTCAAATTACTTATATAAACATAAGTCAACATTTCCCAGCCCCATACCTCAGTCAAATCTCATCCGATTTTCATAAGGTTTGGCTTTTTGTTCATGGTTTGACCTCTAAATCAATTTGGCATCAAAAACTGGCAACAGTGTTTTTGGTCAAAATTCATGTAAAAATTGTACCCTCAATATCCTAACTAGACATAAGTCAAAATTTCCCAGCCCCATATCTCGGTCAAATCTCATCCGATTTTCAAAAGGTAAGGCTTTTTGTTCATGGTTTGACCTCTAAATCAATTTGGCATCAAAAACTGGCAGCAGTATTTTTGGTCAAAATTCATGTAAAAAGTGTACCCTCAAATATCCTAACTAGACATAAGTCAAAATTTCCCCGCCCCATAATTCGGTCAAATCTCATCCGATTTTCATAAGGTTTGGCTTTTTGTTCATGGTTTGACCTCTAAATCAATTTGGCATCAAAAACTGGCAACAGTATTTTTGGTCAAAATTCATGTAAAAAGTGTACCCTCAAATATCCTAACTAGATATAAGTCAAAATTTCACAGTCCCATAATTCGGTCAAATCTCATCCGATTTTCATAAGGTTTGGCTTTTTGTTCATGGTTTGACCTCTAAATCAATTTGGCATCAAAAACTGGCAACAGTATTTTTGGTCAAAATTCATGTAAAAATTGTACCCTCAAATTACTTATATAAACATAAGTCAACATTTCCCAGCCCCATACCTCAGTCAAATCTCATCCGATTTTCATAAGGTTTGGCTTTTTGTTCATGGTTTGACCTCTAAATCAATTTGGCATCAAAAACTGGCAACAGTGTTTTTGGTCAAAATTCATGTAAAAATTGTACCCTCAATATCCTAACTAGACATAAGTCAAAATTTCCCAGCCCCATATCTCGGTCAAATCTCATCCGATTTTCAAAAGGTAAGGCTTTTTGTTCATGGTTTGACCTCTAAATCAATTTGGCATCAAAAACTGGCAGCAGTATTTTTGGTCAAAATTCATGTAAAAAGTGTACCCTCAAATATCCTAACTAGACATAAGTCAAAATTTCCCCGCCCCATAATTCGGTCAAATCTCATCCGATTTTCATAAGGTTTGGCTTTTTGTTCATGGTTTGACCTCTAAATCAATTTGGCATCAAAAACTGGCAACAGTATTTTTGGTCAAAATTCATGTAAAAAGTGTACCCTCAAATATCCTAACTAGATATAAGTCAAAATTTCACAGTCCCATAATTCGGTCAAATCTCATCCGATTTTCATAAGGTTTGGCTTTTTGTTCATGGTTTGACCTCTAAATCAATTTGGCATCAAAAACTGGCAACAGTATTTTTGGTCAAAATTCATGTAAAAAGTGTACCCTCAAATATCCTAACTAGATATAAGTCAAAATTTCCCCGCCCCATAATTCGGTCAAATCTCATCCGATTTTCATAAGGTTTGGCTTTTTGTTCATGGTTTGACCTCTAAATCAATTTGGCATCAAAAACTGGCAACAGTATTTTTGGTCAAAATTCATGTAAAAATTATACCCTCAAATTACTTATATAGACATAAGTCAAAATTTCCCAGCCCCATATCTCGGTCAAATCTCATCCGATTTTCATAAGGTTTGGCTTCTTGTTCATGGTTTGACCTCTAAAACAATTTGGAATCGAAAACTGGCAACAAATTTTTTTGGTCGAAATTCATGTAAAAATTGTACCCTCAAATGACTTATATAGACATAAGTCAAAATTTCCCAGCCCCATATCTCGGTCAAATCTCATCCGATTTTCATAAGGTTTGACTTTTTGTTCATGGTTTGACCTCTAAAACAATTTGGAATCAAAAACTGGCAACAGTATTTTTGGTCAAAATTCATGTAAAAATTGTACCCTCAAATTACTTATATAGACATAAGTCAAAATTTCTCAGCCCCATATCTCGGTCAAATCTCATCAGATTTTCATAAGGTTTGGCTTTTTGTTCATGGTTTGACCTCTAAATCAATTTGGCATCAAAAACTGGCAACAGTATTTTTGGTCGAAATTCATGTAAAAATTGTACCCTCAAATTACTTATATAGACATAAGTCAAAATTTCCCAGCCCCATATCTCGGTCAAATCTCATCCGATTTTCATAAGGTTTGACTTTTTGTTCATGGTTTGACCTCTAAAACAATTTGGAATCAAAAACTGGCAACAGTATTTTTGGTCAAAATTCATGTAAAAATTGTACCCTCAAATTACTTATATAGACATAAGTCAAAATTTCTCAGCCCCATATCTCGGTCAAATCTCATCAGATTTTCATAAGGTTTGGCTTTTTGTTCATGGTTTGACCTCTAAATCAATTTGGCATCAAAAACTGGCAACAGTATTTTTGGTCGAAATTCATGTAAAAAGTGTACCCTCAAATATCCTAACTAGACATAAGTCAAAATTTCCCAGCCCCATATCTCGGTCAAATCTCATCCGATTTTCATAAGGTAAGGCTTTTTGTTCATGGTTTGACCTCTAAATCAATTTGGCATCAAAAACTGGCAACAGTATTTTTGGTCAAAATTCATGTAAAAAGTGTACCCTCAAATATCCTAACTAGATATAAGTCAAAATTTCACAGTCCCATAATTCGGTCAAATCTCATCCGATTTTCATAAGGTTTGGCTTTTTGTTCATGGTTTGACCTCTAAATCAATTTGGCATCAAAAACTGGCAACAGTATTTTTGGTCAAAATTCATGTAAAAAGTGTACCCTCAAATATCCTAACTAGATATAAGTCAAAATTTCACAGTCCCATAATTCGGTCAAATCTCATCCGATTTTCATAAGGTTTGGCTTTTTGTTCATGGTTTGACCTCTAAATCAATTTGACATCAAAAACTGGCAACAGTATTTTTAGTCAAAATTCATGTAAAAATTGTACCCTCAAATATCCTAACTAGACATAAGTCAAAATTTCCCTACCCCATAGCTCGGTCAAATCTCATCCGATTTTCATAAGGTTTGGCTTTTTGTTCATGGTTTGACCTCTAAATCAATTTGGCATCAAAAACTGGCAACAGTATTTTTGGTCAAAATTCATGTAAAAAGTGTACCCTCAAATATCCTAACTAGATATAAGTCAAAATTTCACAGTCCCATAATTCGGTCAAATCTCATCCGATTTTCATAAGGTTTGGCTTTTTGTTCATGGTTTGACCTCTAAATCAATTTGGCATCAAAAACTGGCAACAGTATTTTTGGTCAAAATTCATGTAAAAAGTGTACCCTCAAATATCCTAACTAGATATAAGTCAAAATTTCCCAGCCCCATATCTCGGTCAAATCTCATCCGATTTTCATAAGGTTTGTCTTTTTGTTCATGGTTTGACCTCTAAATCAATTTGGCATCAAAAACTGGCAACAGTATTTTTGGTCAAAATTCATGTAAAAAGTGTACCCTCAAATATCCTAACTAGATATAAGTCAAAATTTCACAGTCCCATAATTCGGTCAAATCTCATCCGATTTTCATAAGGTTTGGCTTTTTGTTCATGGTTTGACCTCTAGATCAATTTGGCATCAAAAACTGGCAACAGTATTTTTGGTCAAAATTCATGTAAAAATAGTACTCTCAAATTATTTATATAGACATAAGTCAAAATTTCCCAGCCCCATATCTCGGTCAAATCTCATCCGATTTTCATAAGGTTTGGCTTTTTGTCCATGGTTTGAACTTTAAATCAATTTGGCATCAAAAACTGGCAACAGTATTTTTGGTCAAAATTCATGTAAAAATTGTACCCTCAAATTACTTATATAGACATAAGTCAAAATTTCCCAGTCCCATATCTCGGTCAAATCTCATCCAATTTACATAAGGTTTGTCTTTTTGTTCATGGTTTGACCTCTAAATCAATTTGGCATCAAAAACTGGCAACAGTATTTTTGGTCAAAATTCATGTAAAAATTGTACCCTCAAATATCCTAACTAGACATAAGTCAAAATTTCCCAACCCCATAATTGCGTCAAATCTCATCCGATTTTCATAAGGTTTGGCTTTTTGTTCATGGTTTGATCTCTAAATCAATTTGACAGAACCCATAAGAGCTCGAGACTTGAAATTTTAGATGTAGGTGCTCCTAGTTCCCGCGCAGATCGAGTTTGTTTCCGATAATCGATAACTTACTCCGTTTCCAAGCAATCGATAAAAGTCGATATCGATATCCTGTTTTTTGGGCAATTTTGGTAAATAATAAGAGCTAGAGTCACCAAACTTGACATATAGCTTCTAAAATAAAATATATACATGTTGTATCTTTGATGTTGGAAGAAGAGGGTTCAGGGTATCCCCTAGTCGGGAGCTCCCGTCTAGAACCTCTTACTTGTTTATCTTCACCATGCTCCTAACACATAAGTCAAATCTTATTACTTGAGAAGTTTACTTTTTCAGGATATCTTGACTATACTTGATATTTAGGAGCTGCCAAAAAACGGACATCAGGTCCTGTTTTATCGCATAAAACCGAAAGAAACTGCTTTTTTTTTGTAAATCCTTTCTAAGCAAGCGTATTTCATCTTCGGCATGCTAAAGCTAGACATTCTTTTTTTTACATATTTACTTCGTTTGGCCTATCTATGTCTCTTAAAATCTTCTTTTTCGCTTTTTTTTTGCAGCCTGGCAGCAGCTGTTTTGGGCCCTGTGCCTCACTTGCCTCGTCGGGTGGGCGTGGGCGGACGATTGGTCGCAGAGCTGCGCCTCCAACTGCACCTGCAAGTGGACCAATGGCAAAAAGTCGGCCATATGCAGCTCATTACAGCTGACGAGCATACCGACCACGCTGAGCACCGAACTGCAGGTGCTGGTGCTCAATGATAATCATATACCATATCTGAATCGTGAGGAGTTCTCCGCATTGGGCCTGCTCAATTTGCAGCGCATTTATCTTAAGAAATCCGAGGTCCAATATGTACACAAGGAAAGTTTTCGCAATCTGAAAATACTCGTGGAAATAGATCTGTCCGACAACAAGCTGGAGATGCTGGACAAGGACACGTTTATGGGCAATGATCGGCTGCGCATCTTGTATCTGAATGGTAATCCTCTGAAGCGTTTGTCCGCCTATCAATTTCCCATATTGCCGCATTTGCGCACGTTGGACATGCATGACTGCCTGATATCCTATATAGATCCCATGTCGTTGGCCAATTTAAATTTGTTGGAGTTTCTCAATCTCAAGAACAATCTGCTGGAGAGCCTCAGTGAGTATGTGTTCCAGCACATGGGCAATCTGAAGACGCTTTCCCTGGAGGAGAATCCCTGGCAATGCAATTGCAAGTTGCGCAAATTTCGCAGCTGGTATGTGGGCAGCCGGCTCAGCTCGGTGAGCCTGGTGTGCAAAGGACCGCCAGCGCAAAAGGATCGCACCTGGGATAGTGTGGACGATGAGCTGTTTGGTTGCCCGCCACGCGTTGAGATCTTCAACAATGAGGAGGCCACCAACATTGACATTGGCAGCAATACAACATTCAGCTGCCTGGTCTATGGTGATCCGCTGCCCGAGGTCAGCTGGGAGCTGAATGGCAAAATTTTGGACAATGATAATGTGCTCTTCGATACGGAGAGCATTGCCTCCGACAAACTGTGGAGCAATCTGACCGTGTTCAACGTGAGCAGCCTAGATGCGGGCACATATGCCTGCACGGGCAGCAATGTAATCGGCTCCATGACCCAAAACATTAGCATCTATCTGAGCGAGATTGTGCAGCATGTGCTGGTTAAGACGCCGGAGACATTCTGGTATTTTGGCCTCATCATGGGCATCTTTGGCACCGTTTTTCTGCTCATCGCCATCTCGTTTGTGGTGTGTCTGTGCAAGCGGACCACGCGCCAGCATCGGCACGCCAATAAAGCGGGCGTCAAGACCAGCGTCAGCTTCAATGATCAGGAGAAGAAACTGTTGGATTCAAGTGTGACAACCACAACCAATGATCGCGGCGATAGCTATGGTATTGACAACAATCCCAGTTCCATCAACAAAACCGACTCCAGCCTCGGCTTCAATCAGATCGAGATTCATGCCGTCGACCATCATCGCACGGGCTTGTCCTTGGCCCAGCAGCAGCAGCAGCAGCAACAACAGCAGCAGCAGCAGCAGTCGGCGGCCGTTGCCAGCCAGGCTCAGGCCGTACAGCATATGCGACAGCAGCTGATGACCGTCAAGGATCCCACCTGTGGCCTGATCAGTGTGCCCACCTCGATGGCCAGCTATCAGCATCAGCTGCAGCATCCGACGCACTCGCACGCCCATTCGCATGGCCATGGCCAGCTGTCGGAGGAGTTTCCGCTGAATGTGGGCGTCTTTCCACCACCGCCGGAGTTCTGCTCCAACATTGTGCCGAATCCCACCTTTGGCAACATATTCATACGCGTCTCTGTCACACAGGATATGCTGGATGGCGCCGACATCAACATGTATCCGGATCTGCTGAACATACCCAAACGGCTGCAGGATGTCCAATGCTCAGCCGATGCCAACGCTGCGGGCACAGCCAGCGATGGCCCAACGGCTGTGGCACAGTTTGCCACGCTGCCGCGTCACACCACACGCCGTGGCATACTCAAAAAGGATCCCTCGCTGCAGGCAGCAGCAGCAGCAGCTGCGTCAACGGCGACAGCGGCCACGAATCTTTATCCACATGACGAGATTGTTACGTACAATCTGGAAACGGGCGCCTATCATTGTAGCGGCAACAACAGCAGTGACATGGAGCTGCCGCTGCCGCCGCCACCGCCGCCGCCCGCTGTAACCGCAGTGGTGCAATGCCATCATCCGACGACAACGGCGCCGGCCATGTCCGCGTCCAATTGCGCCAGCTGCATCAATAATGCGCCCTCGTCCGCCTGCAGCACGCCGCCAATTGGCGTGGAGGCGACGCCGTTGCGTGACAGCTCCGCTTATCCCAAATACGATAATATGGGGCGACGCATCACCGCCAGCGGCGGGCTGGGCAATTCGACGCTGTCGCTGCCTGACGAGAACGAGACTCTGTTCAGCGAATCCACGGCAGAGTCGAACATGGCTGAGGCGGAGAACACGGGCGGACAGGATCATCATCATCATCATCAGATGCAGACAACGGAGCCAGCGCCGGGCATGGATAAGGGTAATGCGGGCGGTGGCGAGTTTGTCTCCCTCTAGTATTATGGTACACAGGTGTAAAGCGCGTCACCTGTCGGCCAATAGACTGTGCTGCCCGCGCGCTAGCGCCATCTGTCGGTCAATAGATTGTGCTGCCAAAACAATCAGTTCACAGAGTCAAAAATAAATCCACTGTGGCAATCGTTTTGTTCATATCAGCGAATTCTTCTCAAGTAATTTTTTACAAAACCAAGCATTCAGAATAAAAAAATATTAATTAAATATATAACCAATCTATTGACTTTCGCAGACTTTATGAAGCTGTATGTACAAGATGAAGAAGAAGAACGCGCGATCCAAGAGCAATTTATGTAGAATCAAAAAGAAACACAAAAAACAACCGTGAAAATATGAGAATGTAATGTTAACAGCGTGCAGAAATAATAATCATTTTATTTAACACTCGTAAGTAAAACACGTAGTTTAACTAGACGCATAAACACATGGAAATATATATATAGTTATATATATCTAGATTCATGGTAACCCATTCCTAAATTTAAAACGTATTCCGCTGGACAACATTCATGTTTGCTTTACCCAACGCCAATTATGCCAAAAGCCAATCCAATTGCCATTCACTGGGAAATATAACAGCTAATTTGGGTATGCTATTGCCAACGGTGAATGGCAAATGTTTGAAACTGATTCATTTTAAAATGTCGCTAGCGGAATTTGTCATTAATATTCCAAAGTTTGTCTAATTTGGTAAATGTTGAAAATGCATAGCGTAAAAACAAAAACAATTCTAGACCAAAAATACTTCCCATAAGGTGTATAAAACGTAACAGTACATATATATGTAAATATAAATATATGTGTATGTGTATGTGTATAAGGAAAATATGGACATAGTCGTAATACCGAGCTGCATAGGCTTGAAGAATTTTTGATTTTCAACTTCGTTTTTTTAGTGCTAGAAAATTTACTGCTCATTGTATAATCCACTGTAGCCACATTGATATATACATATAGACCTTAGAGTTCCCAAGTATTATACCTGAAACTTAAAATTAACAATTTTCTAAATGTACGTATATATGCAACCCTTTTAGCCATGCCATAGGCTATATTTTTAATTTTCAAATAGAAATTATTGTGTAAATAGATGAATTTTAGAATTTTTAAAATCAAAACATTGTTTTTAAAGCCCAGCTCAATATCAAAAGCTAAAGGATGCCAAAAATAATTTTATAGCTCTGTTTTAAATGTTAAACATAATTGTTATCGCCGGCGGGCTGCTATTAAAAGTTCATAATCAGCACACTTAGAGATATACACCTAGGTTCTAGTTCTTCCAAAGACAAACGTGAAAATCCCAGCCAAAACCATTGAGTACCTATCTAGAAAAACTTGTTAAGTTTTTTTTTCAACAGAATTAATTAAATCTTTGCCTCAGCTGCTCAAAATTTATTTTACTGATTTCTACGCACTCCTTACACAAACTTATTGTATATAGATGGATGTAAAAAACAAAGAACCCAGTTGAAAACTAACATTTTACTTATTATATTGAAATATGCATGGGTGTAAGAACAATGTATGAGTAAATCGTCTTATATAAAGTATATATATATGTATATGTATATCATGTATAATCGCATGTGTAGCCCAACAATTGCAGCAAAATAATTTTTGTGTAGAATGTTTACAACTCGAGCTTGATAATGTAAATGTAAATTATAAACTTAAACTAAATTTAAGTGCATAAAATACATTTTAAGAGACAGCTAAAGCCAACATACATATATAGTTGATGTACTCACAGTTGGCTGCCAAGCAGTATAAAGTTCATTAGGGCACGAATCTTCAAACTCTTCCCAGCTTTTGGGCAAACCAGACCCTAGTTACTCAATGGTAGACCTTCAATGCAAGTGTTGGAAAATGCGCAAACGAAAGAAGAGCCGTATCTTAAGAAAAACCTGAAAATATTAAGCTCTGATCGCAAACTCACAACAGGTCAATCAGAGTCTTTATACCGATTTTTAGGCAACTGTGAGTATACCAATTTTCGATATATATATATACATGTAATATGTATGTATGTATGTATGTATGCAGTACTATATATGTATTAGCAGCTGTTGTTTAATTAATGTAAGGCCAATTGTCGTATACAGGCGGATTTACGTACTCCAAAAAATCTTGCATAACTAGCAACATAGTAACACATTTAAATATAAATAAATAAATGATGAAAAATGTAAAAAAACAATTGTTTGCAAAAATATGAGTACGCGTCGAATACACAATACTATGCAAGCAAATATTTACACAAATCCACAATACACGCCCCCTTTTTGGTATTTTGTGGGCAAGCGCTCAAAGGGATTTTTGTTTTTTGATAAACAAACAAAGAAACATACAAAACTATTTCAATTGCACGTAACATAAAGAAAAATTCAACAAATTAATAATAATAAATCAATAGAGATAAATGTCAGTAAATAGCGAATTTTTTCCTTCAGATCTCATAGTTCTCCAAAAGTTATAACATATATATGCGTATATACATATATTAAATGCCTAGCTTGTGCACGGATAGAGTATAAGCTCAGTGTATAGATGAAAAATTCTTTTCAATTCAGTTACAAATTTAATTTCAACACATTCAACCATTTATTCACACATATATACAGCTATATAGTTTTTGCTTAAATTGTTGTGGCTCTATAAGGCATGGAACTGATATTATCTTTTGTGTTACAACATATTTATTTACCTCTACAACTTATATACTGCAAACAAAAAAAAAGGAAGAAAAAAACAACAATGTACATATATACATAAAACTATATATATATATATATATGTATCTCTCATGAAATGTAACAAAAAATAACCGAGCTGAAAGAAGAAAAATCTGGCCATGTACTACCTTTTGAAATCGTTTTAACTAATTAAAAAGTGTTGGTAACCGCCAGAATGCAAACAGCACATGTAAACAGCACTAAACTCTGAAAAGACAACATCCAAACTATGCTTTTAAATAAACACTCACACACACACACACACACACATTCTCATTGCGAATGTTGCAAATATAATTTTAATTACACTGCTTAGTACGCTCCGCATGCGTCCATATATACCAAATACCCTTTATTAAGTCAAGTGGAATCAACTCGCCGCACAATGCGTGCTAGCACATCGAAGGCCAATGAGCTGCACACTAGAGATGAGCGCGTGTCGTGCGCGTGCTTCGGTCACGAAACGAATACTGAAAAGAACATTTAAAGGCGCAAGCAAAGGTTGCTTATATTGTTTATTTTTGAGACAATGAATTATTAAAGGCTATTGGATAACTTACTAGCTGACTTAGTATAAATCCTTAATTTTGTTATTTTAAATTAAGCAGTTAGTTCTATAATAATTAGTAATTATAAGGAGTATAAACGTAAAATTTTCTTATTTAGATTTATTACTATTATTTCAGGAAAAAATGTTCTTTAAATTTGAATACTATTTATTAATTCACAATTTATTTGAATTTGATTTAATAATATTCAAAAACAATCACAAATTAATTAACCGAACTTAAGGTATTTTGGGAAAACCTTTTTTCTACTTGATTACATAATAAAAACCTTAGTTATTTCTCTGAGTGTAACGAAACGCTCTCAACTCTAGTGCACGCAGAACCCCACGTGTAATAGACGCATGCAATTACAGAGGCAACTGCTAACATGCAACATGCAAAGCGAGTAAAAAAAAGGAAATCAACTATGTTTGACTTACATCAGCATGCAGAAAATAAATAAATTCAAATGCAGAATCCGTAGTACAACTTTTTTACCTTTACAAATGTCGCTCGGTGTTCCGGATCGCCTGCTGTGTACGTAAATTACGTAAAAAATAACAATTGCGTAAAATGTGCAAAAATAAATACATTTTTTGAATTTTGTTCATTTTAAGCAAAAGGCAATCCGCACATGCAGAATATTTGTATTTTCTTTTACATGTTTTAACCTAAGCGAAAATAAAAAATAAAATCAAAATGAACATTCACACAGCCACACACACACACACACATAGAGAGAAAAACATGACAAAATATTGCCAAAAATAAATAATAAATATATATATAAATATATATGTATATGTAAAACTCAAATACAAGAAGATAGCATTATTCTTTGGTATAGATTGTCAAGCTTTACTACACACTATATTAACATAGATGAAATAAATATAAAAGTAATGAACACGAACGGAAATATGAAATAAATTGAATAAAAACTAAAATACGTGTGTGATTTCATTCAATTTTGATTGCTGATTGTTGACGATTTCATCGCAATTGGTCGACCTGCGGATGCCCTGTTTTGTCAGCAATATACATGTGCAAACAGCCAAGAAACTTTTACATATCATTATCATTATCATTATCATTATCATTATCATTATCATTATCATTATCATTATCATTATCATTATCATTATCATTATCATTATCATTATCATTATCATTATCATTATCATTATCATTATCATTATCATTATCATTATCATTATCATTATCAATATCATTATCATTATCATTATCATTATCATTATCATTATCATTATCATTATCATTATCATTATCATTATCATTATCATTATCATTATCATTATCATTATCATTATCATTATCATTATCATTATCATTATCATTATCATTATCATTATCACTGCCATCATTATATTTATCATCATTATCACTATCGACATCCTTTATGTATGTAGATAAAATTTCTTCAGCTTTTATCTCTATATTATCACAAACACCCATGGGTGTAAAGTATAAATTAATGCAATAACAATTTATTATTTCTCTGTTCTCGTAATGAATCGAGAGTTTTTCTCCCCATTTCTCGTAATCAAAACAGCTTTTAACAATGCGTTCATTGCGTATACGCAATAAATTCGAGTTAAATTCAAATTTAAAGCATATTTTATGGCCTTAGAATGCAAAAGCAGAATGAAATTAAACTGCAAAGAACTTAAAATTATAATTATATTATGATATATGTATAGGTAACTGCTGCCTCCAGGAAATCATATGCTCTTATTTATAAGCCTCGCAACTTATCTGAGTAGATGGGAAGTGGATGGGGAATGTGCTAGAGCTTAGAGGTCGTTTCTGGTAAGCGGTTGGTTAAAGTAATGACCTAAAAAATAATAAATATTCCTGATAGTATCAAATCAAGCTTGAATTACGCATGATGCTAAAATTGATCCTTAACGTTGCAAGAATATGAAAAAAAAGGGCTTGGAAGAGGTACAAAACAAATAAAAATGTTATGCCTGCGGACCCAACCAGGCTTGGCGAAATATCATCTAAGCCAACTGTGAGGTAATAAAAATGTAAGCTATTTTTGATCCAATACAAAAGAATTTATAAAAAAAGTACTTGATTTGAGTACAAAATGCCAGCCTTCTCTGAGTGTATAGGAACAGCTACATATAGCTAGGCTATTGCCTTTGTGCAGGATATTTCCTGGATATCTACTCAGTAAGTGGCATTTATGCAGAGCTTTCAAAAATATTTCAAATAAATGCATGACCTGCTTTTCATTGGATCTGAAAAAAAAACCTAGAGCAGCTGCTGCTGTGTCCCTGATTTCAATTTCAGTTCCTGGCGCACTGTTTATTTTTTCAATTGCGCTTGCAACTGGCAACTTCCTATGCTTCATATGCCTGCATATCCTGGCATATCCTTCGGCTAATCTACATAATTTGGCTGAGCAAAGCGCTTCCTTTTCGGCTTCTATCACTTGTTGATCTAGCTTGCAACTGTATGCATAAATTTCCGTTCGATTCTGTTTGGACAACCTTCAGCCAAGCCCTGTACCCAGTCTTAGCTACCGATTCCCCGCCTCTCCCCCTCGCCAGTCTCAATCAGCATCCATGTTTGTTCCTGCACTCACAGTTTGCAGCATTTCCGCGCTTAATCTCCGCCGCTTCCATGTGGCGCCGACATCAAATGTGGCAATAATGAGTGCCAGGGCGAGGGAAAAAGCCGCAGAGAACTCTGCGAACTAAGAGTGGAGAACCGAGCAAAGAGAGAGAGAGAGAGAGCGAGAAAACAAAAAAACCGTAATAACATTTTCATCTTAATGCACTCAAAACACATTTAGTCAAAGTTGCGAGCAGCTGCCTCGAAACGCCGCCAGCATCCGGTGCTGCAGGAGCTGCTGTAGGAGCTGCTGCAGGAGCTGCCGCTGCGTGTGCTACTGTGGTGACTGCGGCAAAGTCAAACCACCAAGTCAGTCAGAACAGCACACACACACACACACACAGAGACACACATCCACACACAGACTGCCTGTGCCGTCCTCCATCAATGGCTTGGCTTCATTTGTGCGGGTCCTCCAGAGATTGTGACGCATTGAGCACGTAGCGTTTGCAACCACAAAAACCCATATGCACACCCGCACACACCCACACACACCGGCGCACACCCACTCCTGGGGAGCAGCATCTTCTCCTGCACTTCCTTGCCCCTTTTACATTTGTGAATGTAACATTCATTTTTGACAAGCATAATTTGCGGTTGGAACAGCCAATGGCAACGCCATTGGGAACTGGGACTGGGACTGGGAGTTGGATTAGGGCTGCGTCTGAGAGTACGACTGCGACTGGAACAGCCAGTTGGCATCGTAACGTTGGGCTTATTTACAGCTAGCTGGGAGCGAACACTTTTCTAATGCAAAAATGATGCACTGCACCGTGCGGACGCCAAGCCAGGCCACATCAGGCAACGGAGCCCTGAATGCGGCGGCCGAAACATGCATTTAATGCAGCTGCAACAGTCGAGAGTCGTAGCAGGCGCACATCCTGCCAGACCGCATTGGCAATGAAAATTTAGAAACCAATATTTGTGCTAGCCAGAAGAAAGCAGTAGTGAGAAGGAGGCGGCGGCGGCAGGCAGCCAGAACATAGGAGGAGGAGGTATCTTGGAGAACTAATAGGAGCCAAGAAGGCAGGAGCAGGAGGAGGTAGCCAGAAGAAAGCCAGCAGGAGGAGGAGGCAGCTAGAAGAAGGCCGGCAGCCAAGAGAAGGCAAGACACAAGAGGAGAAGGTAACCAGGAGGAGGTAACACCCAGCAGGAGGAGGCAGCAAGAATAGGCAGCAGCCAGTAAGTGAAGGCAGCAGCTAGGTTAAGGCATTAGAGAGGAGAAGACGGCCGCTAGGAGGAAACGGAGGCAGCTGCAGGCAAGCAGTCGGCAACAATGAAGAGGCTGCAAAATAAATCTGTTTGCCAAACAGTTATTGCTCCTGTTTCAGTGCGCCGCCCCACAGCAGCAGCAGCAGCAGCAGCAGCCGCTGCAACTCGTCCTGGGCTATATAGTATGCCCCAATACTTGGCAAGCGCTCAATAATTGGCAATGCCTACACTCAGCGAAAAGGGCAAGCATTTTGCAATTAAATCAAGACTGAGAACCGGTTCTGAGCCGGACCGATTCGAGACCGGAATTCCAATTTACTTTGCATCATGAACCGGGCCTGTTTTTTCACGACTTGAAGACAAGTCAAAATGCAACCAAGATAAAAATTTCTTAAGCTAAGCCAAAAATTATTTTCTTAAGAAATCATTAAGCACAACATAGATAGACATAGACCAAAACAATATTTTTTAATGGTTTGGATTAGATTCACGCTCAGTTAACCGAATATTGAAATTCGAACCGGTTCAGTCCAAAACCGGTTTACAGCTCTGATTCATACGAAATCAAGGAATATTGAACAAAATGGGCTCCACATTTTAGAAACAAAAGGGTATTAATTAGGTTTCTGCTAAATAAGCATTTCGAATGGCGTTTTTCTCTGAGTGCAGCTGGTCAGTGAGGTGGCCATCGTCCCTCCCTCTCTCTCTCTCTCACGCTCACTCTCTCTCTCCGCATCACTGGCGCTCGTTTCTGCATCGCCGCTGGCCCAGCTTAGGGCTCAGGTGCTGCAAGGATTTCTATAAATTCCATTTAAGCGATTATGCGAGTCGCTTCGAGCCTGAGGCAAATGTAAGCCAAAAGCTGCCTGCGGCTCGAAGATCAACAAAATGAAATGCAATATGTTATAAATGGCAGGCGAATCTCTCTCTCTCTCTCTCTCTCTCTCGCTCTCTCTCTCTGTGTGCTTTAAAGGACAACCCGTGGCTAGCTGCATGCCTCAGGCCTTTTATGTTTGTTTTTTTTTGGTTTGTTTGTCAAATCAATATGCCCACGGCCGAAAGGTGCATTTCACCCCATCCCGACTGAGCATTGATTAAAGTGTTTCGTTTGCAAATTTATGTGCCAAATATTAACCCAATTGCTCCCCAAGGAACACTCCAGCAAAGGCAGAAAGCTAACTTTTGCCCGTGCAAAAAAACACAAATACAAAACCCAAAAAAAAAGATGTTAAAACAAGTTAGAACATTGCAGTCGGGCGTAAGCGACTACGCAATACTCTGATCGCAGTGTTATAACAGCTGAAAACAATTCGAAATAAGTCTGCTTAGTGACTCTACAACTGTAAGCCGAATGCAGTGACTTTCAAACTGGAATTTAATTTATTTAAACATTTGTGTTTTTCTCGTATCCTCACTTGATGAATCAAGCACTGCAAGGCAGTTGCTTTTAAACTGTCAAGTTAGCAGAGCTTTGTATTTATAATTTGTGGGGCTTAGGTAGGTGAATATCTCCTTTTATCGTTTGTCTAGCTGACTTTTCAACTGTAATACAGCAGCATGTCCTTTCAAACATGCGAACTTGTGAAGAAAACATATTTTGTAATTGTGGGGACGGTGGCCTAGCTCTCCAAGTGACTCCTAGACTGTAAGCTCGAACCAGTGACTTTTTGAACTGTGCCCTTCGATAATATTGCATAATCCGTTTGTCGGAGGTGGTTTTAGGGTTTACGTCAGTCTAGATGACTTTTAGCGTCATTTAGCATCATTTTGCAAAATTTCCATTTTTTCTCCTGGAGCTGGTCAAAAAACTGACCCAGCTATATCCAAGCATATAGTTCTAGCTGAAAATCTCTTTTCATCATTCAGAGAACCAATATACTCCTTTTCGCTCTAAGGGCAGAGTGTAAAAAATGCGCGCCGAGTAACTTTTTTTTTGAACAGTTTTTGGTTTTTGGAATACAAATTATGTTCGTAATCTCCATGCATTGACATTTTTCCAGCAGCAGGTACACACACACACACACACACACACACCCACATATCGAATTTATGCCGAAATAGGGTCGCATAAGGGCTCTGTTTAGTTCGACCTTTCTGCATGGGTTCATGTGTGGCAACTTTTTGGGTTTGCCGCCATCATTTGCCATGAATATATGAGAACTGCTCTATTCGGGCTTTCTTTTTTTTTTGCTATGTTTGGATGGTAAAAGTTGTCCAAGACTGTCAAAATTTTGTATTGTTTATGGCGACAGCTTAACAAGAGCATTGACAAAAATAATAATTTGTTTTTCACATCGAAAGGTGAGAATTGCTTGGGCTAAGTTAGTCTTGGCGGAGAACTTTGGGTACTCAGTTAATTAAAAAATGAATTCGTGAAAAGTTAAACATAATCTACAAATTGAAATTTTATAAGTATACTTAAATCCAACATATACAATTTGCTCTGGAAAACTAAAACCCCTTTGTAATCTTCATCATTCTGGGAACTAACCAAGTACACAGTACTATTTAGACAAATTTGTTTTTTCTTTTTACCTTTAGAGAGCTTTGTTAATAACTAAGCTTGCATAGGAAGACGTAAAGTTCCAAATAACCACAAATGGTTAAAGATACAGAAGGAATATATTCAATTTAAAAAATTAATTAGTGAATATAAATAATTTTAAGTATTACCAAACTCTGGGTTATTGATTTCTGTGTATATACTTTCATTTGGCTAATTATGTATGTACATATATGTACAATATACATCGCATAGCATAATTTGTAAATCGATATACATATGATTAAGTACTTTTCGCAGCAAGTTTTGCTTAATGCAATAAATTAATGCCACAATAGACACCACCGAAGATTGTACACAGTGCCCAATATAAACATGCATACATATACATATGTATGCATGTACATATAAATACATATGTACATCTGTTTAATCAAACCATCATCTGTTTAACAAAAAACTAAAGTGCCTTTATTAATGCACATATTACGTGTATTGAAATTAGTATTTATTTAATATGTACACAAATATATATGTTTGTACATACATGTACTTTTCATATATTATCATAATCAATGATGAGCAAATAAAATGCCACCACATTGGCACACAATAGCCTCAAAGAGAGCCGCCTAAGAGCAGCTGAGCCGCAAGTGGCAAAGAGCGCGAGCGAGAGAGCGGCATGAAATGAGCGCTAACAGCGTCAACATCTGACTGACACGAGCGAAATGGGCGATTGAGGCGAATTCATTTTCAGTCACTTTGCCGACGCATTGAGTTTGGTGTTTTTTTTTTCTAGTGCGGCTAAATGCAAAGTAAAATCAAAGAATATTGTAATATAACTATTAAATTATAATGAATTAACAAAGAAAACGGTGCAACAGCCGCTGTGCTACTTGATGGCGTGGACTGCAGACCAGAAATAAATATTGCGAGATTGGTAAGACAAATTATAATCGCTTGGTCTGCATATGTATATACATATGTATGTAAATACGCATATACAAAATGTGCATGCTTACATACGTACATACATGTATGTAGACAGCAGCGTGAAAATGCCTGTACATAACAATTGTACGTTTTTTTTATCTTGTGTACATATTGCAGTTGCACGTAGCACAACAACAACCACAACAACAACGTCCGAGTGGCAACCACAACACCAACAACAGCAACAACAACAACAACAAATAAGCAACTGGGAGAAAACAAAGCAGAACGAGCCACAAGCGTGAAATCAAAGCAGAAGCAACAGAAAAAGACAACAAAGTAAAAGTTCATACATACTTTCATACATTTACGTACATAATACATACTGTATGGGTGTGTGTGTTGGCATGCGGCGACATTAAAAATCAAATCCTGGTAAGTAGCATTCGCGAACCTTTTATTTATTCCCTTCCCCTTCCGCCTCCGCCCTCCATCATTTTGCTGCTGCCAAAGAAAAGCAGCGAATTGACAGACTCGTCGAGAAGTTGACGAGTAAAATAAAATTACTGGGTTCACGTTAAAATATTGAAACTAATTTCCCTGCTTTTGCGGTTTTCATTTATTCATGACACTGACTGAATGAATGTTGTGTGCGCTACAGTAAACACACGAAATGTGCACTTAATTGGGGTGCTCACTAAAAATTTATAAAGTTAGCTTATTACCCAAACATAAATAAAATAACTATGAATAAATTATTAAAAATTTGTTGCACATATTTTAAGGGTACAAAAAACGACTCGGTATATCATAATGCTGCCAATTTTTGGGCAGAATCTAACATCTGACTACAATATCACATATCGATAGGCCGGAAATGTGCTTTTCCCGACTATTGAGATATAAGGGCACATCTGTTATATTTCTGAAAGGGTATTTGATGTCGGCTGTTCTTTCTCTTTTCTTGCAATCTTTCCTATTCGATCACTATATGGTATATGTTTTCCTTACAGTCACATACAATCCGCACATGGACAGCAGCGACGACGACGACAGCGCCAAGTCGATACCGCGACCCATCTATGAAGCGACATCGGCGATTGATAGTCCGCCGCCGGATCTGTGGCCGACTGGCCAAGAGCGGGAATCGCTGCCCAACAAGCGGCTGAAGTACGTGGTCAGTTCGCCGCCGGACTCGGCAAATGGCAGCAGCTCCTCCAACTCGAGCGCCTGGCCTGTGGCATCCGCTACAGCTGGCGGCCACGCCTCACTCACCATGAAGCTGACCAAGGTGACGTCTACGACATCGACAACGCCAACGCCGTCGACCTCGCAGCAGATCGAAGCGAAGCCCGCGCACACTTCTACGCCGCGACAGGAGGTCAAGGTGCGCGTACCAAAGGAGATGATTGCCTTGCAGCGCTCTCACAACGAGTCCCAGGTGCTGACCGGCTATGTTTCCGACAGCGCCAAGCTGAAGAGGCGCAAATCCCGTGCCGTTGCAGCGCAGCTCATCAAGCAGTCGTCGGGCGGCCACTCAACCACGTTGCCCGCCACGACGATGTCCAAGGCAACGCTGAAGCGCAGCAAGAGCATACCTGCGCCCATGTGGGATTCACTAGAGGATGAATGGCCGCAGGAGCCGCAGGCTGCGTCCAGCAGCAAGCAGCAGACAAAGCGGCGCAACTACTCCGTGGCCTACGATGATGCGGTCTTCGCCGGCGATGAGCAGCAGCAGCAGCTGGCAGAGCTGAGCGCCGGCGAGGAGGAGGAGGAGGAAGTTGGAGAGGGCAGTAACAGCCAGCCGGCCAGCGGCAGCCTCACACGCTTTCGTTCCCGCAGCAAGACCGTCTCGCTGAGCAGCGAAGAGCGGCAGCCGCGACGCGGCAATATGCGCTCCGAGAACGAGGATTTTGCCCGCAAACGCAGCGCGTTCCTCAATCGCTTCATCAACGACACGCTCGATCCGCTGGAACAGGCAACGCCGGCGGGGGAGGCGGACAGCGGCGAGTGGCGCACCAGCTCAACCGCAGACACGGATCCCAATCTGTCCATGTTCTCGGATGCCACGGATGATACGAAGCCTGCGCCCAGCGCCAGTGCCAGCAATGCGCGCGAGAAGCTGCAGCAAAGGCTCAACGAGGTGTGGCAGCCAGCGCCTAGGGTAATATTTCGATAAATGTCTATCGTACATAATTTCCCCCTATAAATATATGTTTTGCTCTGCTGCAGGATGGCTGGGATCCCTTCTGCTGGAAGTGCCGCGGCTGCGGCAGCCTGGCACCCTGCTCCAAATGCCTGCGCTCCTTTCATAACTACTGCGTGCGACCCGCATCCACCAAATTCGATGCCACCTGGAAGTGTCCCGAATGTGTGCTGATCGAGAGCGCGCCCAAGCGGTAAATTTCAAGTTGGGTTCCATAGTTCAATCAATTAATTTCCCTTTATTTGTTGCGATTTAAAGGCCGCGTCGCAACGATGTCTCCGTGGATCTGCTCAGTCAGCTGCTCACCTTTGCGCTGGAGCGCATGAAACATGTGCGCGGGGTGAGTGAATACATACACACACATGCACACACTTACTACATACGTACATACATGCATATATAACGCGCTTTCCGTAACCGATCGCTGTTTTCATTATCTTTGCCTCGGTTCATATTCGTTCGTTCGTTCGTTTGTCATTTAAAAACAACACGCGAAATATTTGCGCTCACACAACACAATTACATAAAGAGGCGACTATTTCGTCTTTGTGTGTTTATATGCATGTATGCATGTATTTGTAGGTCTTCGGTTTGCGTTCTCTGCTGCCGTCGCTGGTCCGCTTTCTCATCCTCTTGCTCTCTCGCTCTCCGGCTCTCTGTCTCTCGCTGCCGAAACGTGTAGACACCTGAAATGTCTCGTTCTCGTTGCTTTTGCTGGGTTTTTTTATTTTTACTTGGGAGGCATTTTCCCTCTGCTGCTGGGCTGACATATTCTAACAATATATAGATGTACACAAATATGTCCGTTGTAATAATAAATACAGGGACTCATTGCTAAATGCATGAATTTTATATGACAAATGTACACATGTATATTTCTCATTAGAAATGTGTCATAATGTATAAGAATTTGCAAACACTAAAATCCAAGGCAAAAGAACTGGTAATCCTCACTCATATATTACATTTAAATGCAAATTATTAATCATAAAACCCACGCGACATTTTCGATTTGAATATAATGAGACAAATCGAGCTCATTGTAGATAATATTTGAATAGCAATTTTTGAATATCGCGACTTTATGGTTAGAACTTGTGATTTAACGAAGCTTCTAATTTGGAATTTGGATGCAAAGATAATTCAAATACACAGTCATATTTTCCACAAGTACATGTGTATGTGTACATATATGATAAATATATATATATATATATGTATATTATAAATACGTGTTTTTTCATGTCTGTGGCATAATTCTGCTCATTTCGACACAAGTTTATGAAAGTTAAGGGATATTATTTGTGGCATTTGCTTCCTACTTAGCTGGGAGTCAGGGCAATTTTATGCTTGAACATGAAACAGAGACTAGGCCAAAAGCACTCCATAAAGTGTGAAATTAATGCTGCGCACCGCCTCTCTCTCCCTCTCTCTCTAGGGTAAAATGTGCGGGAAGTGAATTAATTAATTTAATGTTTGGACCGTTAGTTAGCAATGAGCGTTAAAAACAATTACAAAGTGGAAACCGCAGACAAATTAACACGCATACATATGTACAGGCTGATGTAATCTATGTATGTATGTATGTATGCATGTCTATACAAGCATTAGATGTACGTAATGTACATCTGCATATGGGAATAGCCGCAGGAAGAAAACAAACACGCCGCAAATCAAAGAAGCAGCGAAATAAGCAGAAAAGAATTCAGCAATAGCAGCGTCATCGCAGAGGAGGTTGCGGTGCGGCGACTACAATGGCGCAATTTATATTTGCCTGGCATTGCCGCGTTAGCTATGTTCGCTGTGTAATTTGAGGTTAGTTACGCTCTCACACACACACACACACGCGCACGGAGCCATAGGAGTGAGCGCTTATACTGACATTTGACTGTTCTGCGTATGGTTGTTGTTGCTGCTCTTCGCTTGTCAAACTTGTTTGTTTACAATATAAATTGCGCGACTCTCTTTGCCGCGCTCTTAAGCGGCGAATTGCTGCCCAGCTGTCTAGCTGCTGGTGCTGCACCTATCAGTCTCATCTGTTTAACGCTCTTTTCGTTATGCTTCGTTTAAAAAGTGAAAAGGGTATATTGGTGGTCACCAATGTCCGTCTTGCATTCCATATGTATTCCGGCTTACCCGCGCCGGACAAAGATTTTATTTATACATCAGAAAGTTTACGGCTAGCAAACGGCTAAAAGACGATTAACCAATTTATCGCGAAATATATATGCATATATCCCAAATATAGCCCGTTTCTTAAAATTGTAAAAACTGTATAACAGTTTTATAAGTAAAAAATCAAGGGTTCTTCTCGACCTATTTGTCGGTGTAAATATAAACTATAAACAGAGTATTTCGCAGTTGGTAACCTCGTTCCTGATTGTTTTTTTTTAGGTCTACAAGCTGCGTTCTCCACAGGAAGTGTTACCGGAAAACTATGGCAAATACTTTGTAAATCCAGTAAACTTTGAAAGTTTAGCGGAACGCATCAAAAATCGCGCCTTTCACAGCGTCGACGAGTTTCTCAGCGAGGTCAAGTGGATGCAGCACAACGCGCTCATCTTGGACAGTGGGGGTAAGTGCTTCTCCTTTGTTGCTCAGATGTGATTATTGTTTTTAATTGATACCCTGGCAGATATTAAAGTGGAGCAAGCCTCCAAGGCGGTGGTCAAGGTGTGCCGACAGGAGGCGAACGAGATAGATACCTGCGCCGAGTGCTATTTGAATGCCAACTCCAGTGATGAATGGTTCGTCAAGGTGTGCACCCAGCCGCATTTGTTGCTCTGGGCCAAGTTGAAGGGATTTCCCTATTGGCCCGCTAAGGCCATGGGCGCCGGTCCCAATGCGGTGGTCAATGTCCGGTTCTTTGGCAAACACGATCGCGCCAACGTGCCTGTGAAGGATTGTTTTCTGTATTCGGCAAAGGATCCCAATACGCAGACCAGTCGACGCTCCGCGCGTGATTTGGCCGAATGTATTCGCGAGGTGGAGGTGCACATTGAGAATATCAAAACTAAAATTGGCTGCTTCAATTATGCACCATATCGCATGCCCTACGATCCGCAAGAGGAGCAACAGCAGCTGGAGCAAATGATGCCAGGCGTAATTGATGTGATCAATAGACAGCTGGCGCCGGCCAACAAGACACCGCTGCAGTTTCTCATACGTAAAACAGCCGGCGACAAGTTGTCCATTGTGAAGAAGACAAAGGCCACCGAATCGGGTAATGAATCCGATCATTCAGCTGTTAGTCCCATCAAGAAGTCCATGCATGATTCAGCCGAGTCGACGCCGCCGCCGCCGTTAAGCAACGAGCACGCGAAACCGAAGAGCAGCAATTACGAGGTGATACCCAGAGCTGGCGATGCTTTAAGGGAATCTCGCGGCTGCACTGTGGTGCTCAAGCGTAAATCCCTGGAGACGTGTAAAACCTTGGTCAAGATGGCATCTATGCCAGCCGGGGAAACGTTGTCTATAATCAAGCGGAAACATTCCCAGAGTGATGCTAGCAGCGAGACGAGTCAGCAGGGCACCAGCTCCTCCGAGCAGCGGCGACGGGCCAAGCATGCGCGCAAGACAGCAGCAGCTGCAGCGGAGCGGGAGGAGCAACAGAAACAGGCAACAGAAAAGGAAGCGGAAGCTGAAACGAAGGAGTCAAAACTGGACACAGCACAGGCAGCAGCATCAGCAGTGGCGGCAGCCGAACCCACTCCAGCTGTTGACTCGGTAGTGGAGCTGGTGCGTCGCCGACAAGGCGTGACCATAACCAAAATACCGCGGGAACAGCAGCTGCAGTTGCAACACCAGAACCAAAACCAGCAGCAGCAGTTGCAGCAGCAGCCACAACTACAGCAACAGCAGCCCCAGCAACCGCAGCAGGAGCAGCTGCAGCACTCGCAACAGCCTACTGCAGCAGTCAAGTCCCAAGAGTCCGCTGCTGTGGATGAAACGGTAGCCAAGCAGCGTGCTGTGGAGCGTCAGCAGCAGCAGCTGATCAGCAAAGTGGTGCCCTTTATAGAGATCAAAAAGGAGGTACTCTCCGAGCCAGAAGATGGCGAAGAGGCGCCCAGTCAAGCAACAGAAGCGCCGCCTAGGCCAGTCGAGCTGCAGCATCCGCAGCAACAGCAGCAGCAGCAGCCTGTGCTGGAAACTAGCCTGCTCGCTGCATCTGGAGCCACAGCAGCACCAGCAGCTGCCACAATTCTGCCAGTTCAAATCAAGGAAGAGGTGCTCAGCGAGGAGGAAATGGACACGGAACACAACAAAAACGAGTCTACGCCAGCAATGCCGCCGCCTCAGCAGGTCGCCTTGCCCGTACGTGAAACTCAAATAGCTTCAGTTCATACAGATCCAGTTACAGATGCAGCAGCCGTAGCTGCAGCTGCTCCAGAAGACTTTGTGCGCTTTGTGGGTGACACGACCATTCAGAGATTGAGCCAGAAGCAGCCACACAAAGGAGCTGAGACGACGACACCAAAGCGGAGCTCGTTGCGTGGCGTGCCGCATGGTCCATTGCCAGCTTCGGCGCTTTCGCCCAATTCCACGCCGCCCCCCTCAGCGCCGGCTTCGCCCACGCCCACGTCTTCAACGACGTCGCCCAAGCCATGTAATAGTCAATCCAGCAGCAATCAACGCCCAAGCGCACAAAGCCCACCCAAGACGCAGCAAGCAGCTGCTCAGCAACTGCGCGTTAAGTGCGACAAATCTTTGAATGCCACAACACCGCCGCCCGCGTCCCACCCACCGGCTGCCACGCCCACATCCAGTCTACTCAAGTCCAACATGGTGGTCATACCCATGGATCCACGCAACACCAACGGTGGCAACAGCAACAGCGGCGGCGTTGGCGGCGGCAGTCTCGGCTGCCAACTCAACAATTCCAATTTGATGAGCATACCGGTGCCGCCACTGCGAGCTGTATCCAAGAGTACCCTGCAACAACCCGGCAGCGCGCTGACAGCCATCACAGCTGTGCCTCTACCACCGCCTGCATTCGGCTCCTCCTCGCTGCCGCCCCCACCGCTGGCCGGACTCACCACGGCGACAACGACAACGATAAGGCCAGTGGCCGGTAGCGCGGAGCCGGTTGGTTTGCTCGCCAGTGCATTGAACGGCCTGCCCAGTGATACCCTGGTCAGTGAATCCACGCCGGCGGAGACTATCGTGCCCGGCGTGGCTACCGCATTAAGTGAGCTGGTGTTGCGCTCGGGACCGCCCAAGTTGACGCTGCGCCCGTGCGGCCCGTTGCAATCAGATGGCTCCAACATCTATCCGTCACAGGCTGGACCGCTCTCCACCAGACTAAAGGAGAATGCGCACAAGGTGAGATGGGTTAAGCTATATATACACTATTTGCAGCTGTCAACCATCTTTGCCCGATTCAAGTGTTATTCTTTAACATTTTGCATAAAGGCAGGTAACAAAAGACATAATCAGTGAATCCGTCAGCCAATCAATCAGTTTTTAAGTCAGTCAGTCAATAGGTCCGTTAGATATTCAATGTAGATAGTCGGTCAGCTAATCTAGTTAATCAACCAACCTCTAAGTCAATCCATGAGGCAGGCAATCAATTAAATAATCATATTTTGTTTAACGCAGATTACGGACTACTTCATCTCGGTGATTGAGGACACCCTGAGCGATCTGGCCGGCGGGGAGCCGAGCGTGCTGCAGGCACGCATTGCTGGCCTGACGCTGGAGAACGAACGCCTCAAGCAGCACTATGAACGGCAGATGGCGGAAATGCAACGTTCAACAGATGTGCTGATAGCCGAGATGCGCAAAACCATGGAGCAGGAGAACAAGCGGGTGATCAGCGAACTGCGACAGCACAGCACTCTGGAGCGAATGCGTGCGGTGGAGGAGGCTAAGAAGAAGCAATGGTGCGCGAATTGCATGCGCGAGGCACAGCTGTACTGCTGCTGGAATACCTCGTACTGTGACTATCCCTGCCAGCAAATGCACTGGCAGCGACACTCGGCCAGCTGCGGCCAAGCGGCCACACTGCAGACGCAGTCGCAGGCGGATGCGGGGCGTGGCAAGCTCAAGCAGGTGACCAGCACAGCGCCAAATCCCAACCAGCAGCAGCAGCTAAATAGAACGAACACTGTGGGCAACGCCAACAAAAAGTGGACGCATCAGTCAATGATATCATTGGTGAATCCCGCGCCGCCCGCCACCGAGGTGCTCAAATTGCCCAACAACACATTTCTGCGACCCGTCTCGCTGCCCTCAACAATGCCCTCTGCCAACACCGGCAGCATTGTTAGCCCAGTCACCCTCATAGCGCCCTCCACATCCACGCATCTGCAGAATACCATCATGACGGGTCAGCGAAATAACATGAGCTACGGTGCCAAGCAGCCGCAGCCCATTGCCGTGCAGCGGTATAATATACCCGTGAGTTTAAACTAATCTAGTTGAATTTCCTTTATTAATGGGGTGTTTGTCTTTCGTAGCTGCCCATCACAGTCAGCAGCAATGCGGCCTTCGGGCACATAACGGAGCAGCATCAGAAGCATGTGGCCAAGTCCACGGGCCGCAGTTCCCTCAAGAACAGCAGTCGTGCCCGCAATTCAAATAATCCCATTAACAACAACAGCAACAACCCGAACGCCCAGGTCATGCGTCACAACCAAATCAATCACGTTTTTCAGCAGTGAGTTTCAAGGTTTTAGTAGAATATATAAGTACAAATTGATGCAACAGCCGGAAGGAAGCATATACGACCCGATAAAGTATATATCAGGTCGATGTCTGTCTGACCGTGTTTTGCACAAATGACGAAGATCTTAAAGACAACATGTACATAACAACATAGTAGATGGACCGACTTTCTAGGAACCTCCCTCCATAACACCCAAAATCGGAAAGCTCACATTTTCAAAGGTCGAACCTTGCATCTTGGTATCTTGTCAGTTGTATTTACCATATGTAAGCCTGAAAATTTAATCAAGATCAGACTTCAAACACCGTAGTTTATTAAGTATGCATTTTTCCGTAAATAGTGTAGAGAAAATGGAGGAAAGAGCAAAACCGCTGCTTCCGCTGTGCAGCTTGCAGAAATATAGAAAGACGTGGCCCAGCGGATATAAAATATTCATATATATTTTTGTCTATTAACACTCAAACGCCACTCTTAGCTTCATTCGATTTTTTCGACTTTTCGCTATCGGCCGCTTCGGATTACTTTTATCATATAATCTTAAATTGAGCAAGATAATATCAGCGTAGACCTTCTATATCCTATAGATGAAGAACTGGGAGGTTTTTTTTTTATAAAAAAGACAAAGATGTGTATGTTGTCTGCATAGGGTAATTAATCGTTTCTTTCTTGCTTTCTAATTATAAATATAACATTCGGTTTGTCATATTAAACACAGATCAGGAATCCATCGGCTAGGTTAAAACCCGTTCTGCTTAGAACTTATACTAATAAAATACTACTAAAATGATACTAAAACTAAATTAACTTTCAGGTGACTTTCCTAAAGTTAAGATCTTGGATCTCATCGCAAGCTGAAACTGGCGCAAAACTGTATAAAATTCACAGAATGTTTTAACCAGATTTACAATAATAGATAATTAGTTGTTTAGGATGTAAGAACGCTACGCGACATTTATTATATTGACATATATATAAATATATATTTTGTTAGTTTTAATCAGGCTCACATAGCACGTAAATTATGATTAACCATAAGATGGACTTTATAATTATTCAACGTTGCCGCAAGCGGGCAACTACTTTTTAGTTCTTCGTAGTTTATAAGATCATCTATCTATCAGACGTCAAACCCATTCAAAAGCATGTGTACATTCATTTTATGTATCAAGGCATCAAAACATCTTGAAATATTTTACTGAACTTACTATATATAGCTCTAAGCTGAATTAAATGAAGACATGTTCCAATCGATCATTTAAAAGAATAAATTAAATACTACTTTAAGACAACTTTATTGTTAGCTCAAAAACACCAAAATTCAGAAAAAAACAAAAGAATTGTATAATCTTATTATTAATCTATATCCAATTTCTTAAAGTTACCCTCGATGCCGAACAGACTTGACGCATTCTTTGGCTTGCCAGGTCTTAACTTTTCGTTTACCTGATGGCGCGTCTCAAATTCAAGCATTTGCTTTCGATTGTCCATTAATTTCTTGTAGTATATATCTGTTTAAGAAAGTGTAATAGATTTAAAAATAACTTTATTTTTAGTATTTATATAGTCCTACCCCTCAACACCTTGGCCTCATCGAGTGGTCCACCATAGTCCTGCGGCAACAGCTCGCGCGGCACAAATTTATAGAACTCGTTCAAATCACTGTGCAAATACAGGATGCTGGTTAATTCCTTATTCATGAATGGACTCATCAACGCCAGTATCTTGTCCATAAAGGGAACAATGTTGATAAAATGGAAACCGATCAGCCGTATGGCAGCAGCTTCCTAAGATATAGGTAAATATATATATATTGAAGGAATTTATGTATGTTAACAAATTTTCATAATTGGAAAGTTTTGTTTCGAGGAATTTGTAAAAAGCTGGGATGCCATCTTCTAATGGCCCTGAATTTATTATTATTTTATAACAAATTTAATGCGGTTAAATACAATTCTAATGCACCATATCCTATTAAAATCTGGAAGCTTTTGGCCAACATAGGGCCATCCTTTTAGCGCAAAAGTATGCAGTATAATGATTAATTGTGAATCTCAGATGCAGCGCAAAAGTGTGCAACAGTCTCTTGGTGCTAGGCAATTCTATTCTTATAGATGCATTTCATTTAAACTCAAAATCAAAATGATATGTTTTTACGCTCTTAGAAGTCGATTGTTCGCCTTGATAGATAGATATATTAAGTATAGGCTATTTAATTTGCAACTAACCTGCACATAGAAAAGGAACTTTTTCATCTGAAGTAAACCGATGCGCGCCACATGACCCAAGGAGCAGCCTTTGAGGTCAATCACAATCACATGTCCCGGCTGTATGCCATCCTCGCACATCCAATAGTCGAAAATCATGCAGTAGCTGGAACACATGAGTTTTCTCGGTTCAATTTCGCGGCAATTGCATTATTTTCATTACTAAACAATAATTATTTAATAGCTAATCATTAAACAGTAGATTGTTTTTTGTTTGTATGCATCTGACAATATGTATCTGCATTTTTAACTGTGTCTGTATCTGTATCTGAATCTCTTACTGTATCTGTATCTGAAACTGTGCCTGCATATGTATCTGTATCTGTGTCTGGTCGTGTCATGAGTTGTGCGTGTTTTTTTTTTTTCTTTTTTGATTTGTTGCTCTGACGTCTTCACCAGCTACTGACTTTAAGCACTTTGATCTTTGAATCCCATGTATTAAACCCTTTTTTTACTTGTCATAATTATAGCTGACAATACTCGAAATTGACTTGTCGCAGCACGTAGCCCACTAGCAGTTGTTATTAGCACTTATGAATGCTATTGAACATTTCAGATGTCAGTAATACAAGTAATTAAGCTTTAAGAAACATACTTAAACTAAACAGATACCTAATGACAGTGATATTACATATTTCTAACTTCAAAATGCTTTATTAATATTAATTGTTAAATTAAATTAATACTTATATTTTTTACTGTTTACTGTTGACGCAACCCGAAATGCTACGAACCCCTCAGAACCTGAAAATAACCAGTTCCTAATTTTATTATCTGGTTTACGGAGTGGACAAAATGCAAACTACAGGCCGCAGAAATTAAAATTTATAAAAATACAATTTTTTGATCCAATAAGGCATTTAAAATAAATCATTCGTACCACTCCCATAAGCATGTATCTCCTTTAACCGTACAACACCAATCTGTGTCCGCTTATGGGAGCTTCCACTTCGCGTATATCCGCGTCATGTTTAGCTTTAAGATATCGTATCTTAACCAACTCAGACGTTTTACAACTCGACCAATTTTCTATATAAAAACGTTTAGAAATGTCCTTAAAAATATCTTCAATATCTTTCGAAGTTTTCAAGAATGTTGTACTATAATATTGTAACGTAAACTGTTCAACAGAGAAGTAGATATGTATGTACGACCCCATAAAGAATCTATAATCATGATCGGGTTATTGCTGTGTCCGTCTGTTTCTATGAAAACAAGTTTCTCAGTTTCTATCTTGATCAAAATATAAAAGAGATTCAGTACATCAATCGGATCCACCGAATCGTACGACTATTCCTTATAGACCCCATGGGAATGATCAGTCAAAAGATTTGGTTTGCTTATTTTGTCTAGACATAATAGTAAAATCTTATGAACAGGCTGCAATATTACATAACCCCTATGGTAAATAATGTTATATGTTATATATACACCGAACATTCCATCGGGATATTAAATAGGGTATTAAATGTTCGGTAACCCTTCTCCTACTTACAGTTTCATGATATCCGCATAATTGAAATTGGATGCATTCGTATCCTCCAGCTTGCCCACAATGACTCGATAACCCTCAGGCGTAGAGCCAGGCAGTGGAACTATGGACCTGCAAATGATATGCTGGTAATACTGGAGGAGAGCATAATCAAATCCGTGGCAATAACTTACACCGTTTTCATGGCACGCTTCAGTTCGTTGCTTTCAATGTCCAGATTCACAAAGAAGTCGTCCAGGTGAGTGCGCGCCGTCAGATTTGTGTCCAGCACCTGTTTGGCCATTTCCATGCTGCATTTGCAGGCATAGAAAAAGTGCAGCGCCTCCTCCTCGGAAAACTGGGCGGAGATGTGCGGCTGGGCATGAATCCAATTGACAAACTTTTGCATCTCCTCGCGCTTAATCTGCGGAAAGCGAGCATATTGCTCATCCAGATCCGCCAACTTCATCTTTCAGTTTTGTCCGTTTCGATTCAAATGATGTTTAAAAATCGAATTTTTTCAGATTCTTCTTTTTCAGGGAGCTGCGTAATCCGTTCGCAACGTTCGACACTCGAATGAAATTGAAATTAAAACTGTTTTTGCTTTCGCAAAATGCGAAACTGGTTGCGCGTTTGCGCTGCCGCCGCCGCACAGTGTGGCCTTAGACCGAAATCTTGGCAAAATTTAAAAGTTTTATAGATACTCAAATTAAAAATAACCACATAAATCAATTTATATATAAAATTGTAAAATATTTTATTGAAAATTGATTTTAAATGTTGGCACATCTGCGCGTATTACAGAGGCTTGAACGAAAAGTTTGACACACTCTATAAACGTTGCACCCTGTGTGATCTGTCTAACAGAGATTATTTATTTTTTAAACATTATACAATATACTGTTTAACTTGGAATCCATGATTTTTGCCACGAAAAATGTCAAAAGGCCCCACTGTGCATCTCTGCCGCTGTTTGGCAAATTCGTTTTTCCATTTTCCCCTGCTGTTTGGAAAAGTGCAACTGGCTTTTGCTAGACGCCTGCTCATTTCACTTGCGTGAAAATTCAGGTTTTGCCGTTTTTTCATCTTTGCAACTATTATTTTTATTATTATGTTTTGCTTGCGCAATATCTGTCAGTTGGCTCTGGAGTTGGGGGGCGTACGTCTAAGCTATCCCACAGCTGTAATTATTTATCATGAACCCCATTATAAACGCGTGCTTTGAGCTGCTCTTGGGCCTCGTTCAGTTTTGAAAACGCGTTACGGTTGAGTGCATAAGCTAAGGCATGACAGCAAAGGGCTTATGCCGTTAAATTCCAATATTAATATTATCTCATCTATTTTCAGTATTAAAACATTTATATTTTTCTTTTATTTGGAAAGTCACATATATAATCAAAACGCTGACTCCTAGGGGTTTAAGCTTCAAATTTAATTATCGTATTTTTAACCATTGTCCTTCTCTGCGATTCTCAGGAATTTACGTAAGCCTTGCAGATGTTCATGCTTGTGCTAAAAGTGTTTTATTGTTTTGTATATACATACGTTTTAATATATATACATATGTAGGCAAGTGTGTATATATGTACGAATGAACGAATGTATGTATACACATATGGGTTGGAATATATGTATGTTTTGTACGTATGCATGTGTATGTCTGTTCGCTAATACCAAACCACATGCATACATACATAAGAAGATCCGCTACTCTAAAATTTAAATAGGTGTATTTTTATACCCTGAACCCATTAAAAATGGGTATAAGGGTATATTGTATTTGTGCAAAATCCAAATGTATGTAACAGGCAGAAGTAAGCTTTTCCGACCCCATAAAGTATATATATTCTTGATCAGCATCAATAGCCGGGTCGATCTAGCCATGTCCGTCTGTCTGTCCGTCCGTCCGTCCGTATGTATGAACGCAAGGATCTTAGAACCTATAAGAGCTAGAGAAATTTTAGATGTAGATGCTCCTAGTTCCCGCGCAGATCGAGTTTGTTTCCGATAATCGATAACTTGCTCCGTTCCCAAGCAATCGATAAAAATCGCTATCGATATCCTGTTTTTTGGGCAACTTGACATATAGCTTCTAAAATAGAATATATATATATATATATATGTATATATATTTGATGTTGGAAGAAGAGGGTTCAGGGTATCCCCTATTCGGGAGCTCCCGACTAGAACCCCTTACTTGTTAATTGTTACCTTAGTCTGTCAATATAATGAACGTATGTATGTAAGTATATATGTCAAAGCTATTCAGATCTGGCAGTATTTATCTCCTAGTAACTCCATAAATTGTAAGTGGAGTATAAAAAAGTAAGCACCGGACAGAGGAAAAAACAAATTTCACAAGCTATTATTGAGTTTATGTGGGCATATGCTTAAACAATATTTTAACCTTAGCCAACGCTTCAGACAAACATGTTGATCCCAGAGAGCAAGAGCTGGCAAATTTGGTATTTGGGCTTATATTAACATTTTGCAAAGGCCAACCCAATTGCATGGGCACTTTCCATGCATGTTCCCAGTTCTGACAGACAAACTTTTGACATTTTGCCAGCAGACGTTTAAGCAGCCAATGCCAGCAAGCCACCATGCCACCATGCCACCATACCACACAGCCACCATGCCACAAGCAGACAGCTACTTGAGGCGTTTGCAGCAGCAGCTTCAACGGGCTGAACCTGTCGCTGGCACAGTCTGTGTCTGCGACTGTAACAGTGTCTAACGTCAGTCTGTGTGCCAGTTTGGCGTGTCTGAAATTCCAGCGGATTAGAAGTTGCGCGTAAAGAGCAAACGGCATTTGCAACCAATGGGGGCAACAACAGCAGCCGCGTGAGCAACCAGTTTTGCAACGGATGAGGCCTTGCTGATTCTGGGATCGCGGCACAGGTGTCAGCTATAATATCTAGGTGCCCAGCCAAAATTAATTACCACACTTCGCTTGGAGCAAGGGGACGGGGAGGGGCAAGCGGCCTTAGAGGTAAGCCCCCTTTTGACTTGTGACTGACATGAGTCACTTTTGTTGCTACCAGCAACTCGCCTGACCCCAAAAACCAATTGCAGGAATGTGCGCAGACAACGAAGACAACATCACTTGCTATACCCTATACGCATTGAAAGCGTTTGAGACTTGGGGTATGGTGGTTTTGTGCATGATGAATGTGACATATGCTTGATTGGCAGCAGCATCTAAATCGATTAATTTAGAGATTTGGGGAGAAATTTACATGAAATCGATCAATATCGATTTGCTGCCGTTGCTTTTTGTACATATCTCAAAGATTTCAAGAGCATACAAATCGCACAAGAAACAGAGGGAATTAAAGAAATAATAAAGTTAAATAAAGGCACAGGCGCAAGGAAAGAAATAAGAAATCCATTTGAAATCAACTCGCAGACGTTTACAGGGTATCTCAGAGTTAGGCACCCAAGTAGCAGCTGCTGTTGTTGCCGGCAACGTGCCTCGTTTCAAGTTGCCGTCACGCAGCGGATCCTACAAGGCACCTCCTTTTTTTGGGCTTGGCTTTTGGGCTGCGCGCATGAGCGCACGCTGTTGTCCTCCTTTTTAGACCGGAGACCGCGCTGCGAATCCGCCCGCAGCTCCTCCTGTTGCCCATGCAAATTACGGGTGGTTGTTGTTGTTGTTGGTTTTCTTTGCTCTTTTTGATATTTTTCACGCATTTGACTGCATTACTTAACCTCAATTTGGCTGACGACGTGCCGCATGTTGCCCACCTCTGCCCCTGCCAATCCCCTGCAGCTGCCCCGTGCTGCTGTTTCCGTTGTATGCCCCAGCTCTGGCATTGGCGACAAATGAAGTTGTCGCTTTGAGCACGCCCGCCTCCTACCCGCCGCCCACTTGTTAATGCTGTCCAGTTACTTTGGCCACTGGTTTTGCATTTCTCAACAATTGTTGCCGACTGCAGCGGATCCTGCCTGTCCGCGCCGCTGCCTCCGCCGCACTCCATTTCAATTGGCGCGGCGACCTGTCTGACTCATTTGTATGGGTTGCCCTACGTTGGGCTCAGCTGGCTCCCCGCCAGCTGTACTTGTGTGCCGCGCCTGCTGCTGCCACGCGTTTGCCGCTCGCCGGCAACAAAATAAAAAAAAAACGAGGGAGAGAAGAGGGTTCCAGTCGAGACTGCCCGACTAGGAGATACCCTGAGCCCAGCGCCTAGCTGACGTTACAAACCATCCAGCTTTCTTTTTTACATATGCTAGGTGTTGTGCTTCTTCTTCCCCCGCCCTTCTCTATGCATGGAAAATGCATTCCTAGTTATCTTCGGTTCTTATGACTTACATCCATTCCCTTCTTCAAGAATATCTATATACTATATACTCGTGTATCAAATTTGTTGATTCTAGCTCCTATCCCGAGATATATATAGAACTACAAGCAAATGTATAAACCCGAACTGAAAGAGTAGTATATTTACATATATATATGTATATATATATATATATTTGATCAGCTGATTTTTACAACAATCAGTTCTGAAGTTTCCAGTACAGGAAGATAAACTTGTTCTGCGTCAGATATGAGAGAATAAATACATCAGTTTTGATTGATATGGAAATGTCTAGATCGACTTGGCGCGTCTTTCTGATCAAATATATATATAATATATACCATATATATGATCAAATATATATGGTATATATATGGTATGTATATGCTCTTTGAGTGAGGCTACATACACATGCACAACACCATTATGACCTTGTTTGGCCACTTTTAATGGGCTACAGGGTATGCAAGTTTCGATAGTGATTTCGATTGACCGCTTGCCGCACGTTAAGCCACCTCCCCTCATACCCCCTACCCCCTACACAGCAACCCATCCGCCCGCTGCTCTATGGGATCGAAACTCGTTTGAGCCACATTTTGTGACTTTTTCTGTTATTTTAGCGGTTTTTGTTTTGATTTCTGATTGCCGTTTCAAGCGTCTTTTTTTTGTTCGCTCTTCGCCCGTTTTTGTTGTCGTTGTTGTTGTTTTTACTGCTGTTATTCGCTTTTATTTACAGTGGCAAGTGCCGCTTGACAAATTGATTTTGATTTGTTGGCTTTTTGTTTTTGTGGTAGTTTTTGTCTTATTTGCCATTTCCTTTAGCTTGAGGTTAAATTTATAAATTCTACAAATTGCTGAAGTTTAAGCTAACGCTTTGGGCACAAACTATAAGAATAAATAATAAAATAAAATTATTCAAATCCCTATGAGCTTTTATCACGTCTTAATCAAAATTGAGTAAAAGCTAAACATCCAAAATATATTTTTGATAGTTCAGCTGAGGGTTCGCGAAACTGGAATCGAACTAATGAATTTTTGTTGGGCTTGCAAAGTTCATATTTGTGTAAATGGTACATGATATTTTCTGTTTAATATTTTAGTTTTTTAACATTAGTAAATTTCACATATTTCTAGTACTTAAAATATTTTTGAAGAAAAATACAACTTTTTTGTGCTCAGGTTTTGGTTTGGGTTTATAGTATAAAATATTGAATAACGTGCTCAAATTATTTTAATTCAAAGCCGATTTGCAGACCTAAAA